TTCCCACGCACGAGATTACTGTGTGATGGATGTCCTTCCCTGGGGTGGGATGGGTGGGTTTACTGGGCCCGCAGTAATTGGTGCAAGCTGTTACGATGTCCCTGCCGGTTGGCGAAGCTAAATAAACTATCAGCCACAATGCCTGTTGAGTACTAGTGGCGTTTGTGGATGTATAAAGACCTCAATATTGATCATATCATTATGCCAGCCGAAAAATCATTTCGCAACAACAAATATTTCTATATAATTTGGATATATCAACAAAGTTGAAATGGTAAATTGGCCACCGTAATGATTACAAAAGCTGACGTTTCGAGCGTTAGCCCTTCGTCGGAGTTATATTTCTATAACTTGAAACAGATGAGACAACATCCTCTAAATGTGAAATCATTTTCAGACTTGAAGCATACTTGTTTTTAAAAGCATACCTCTCTACGAGAAAAATCACATTCACAAAAGTTTGCGTACAATTTTTTTTATAACTTGATCAGTGCTGAAAAAGCCAATGCGTGGCGTGAAACCTGTCAAACGATATAACGGTCGCAGATAATACAAAGGCATGCACTAAAATGATATCAGCGATTGCTTAGTACATGAAAAGGGACCAGTAAATGCATATTTATGTCAACGGCTTACTGATGTTTAATTCCTTCGTCGTTAATGAAGATTGGTGTTTAGAAAGTAAAGTCCTGATATGTAGTTAACAAACGCCATTTTGATGATATAAACTAAGTTTGTGTGGTGTGGTCTTGTTCCCTATTAAGACAAAAGGAGTCAGAATCAGGAAGTTCTTTCTTGATGCCCCAAACCAATACCTTTTGCAGTGTTAACCGTTATCTCACCTTGATTGGTTTTCAGTGTTGTCCGAAATAGTAACATCTAAAGAAAGATGATGAACCCCTGTTGCGAATATGTTCTTTCGTCGCACTCTCACTTAATAAAACGCTGAAGTCAGGTCAGTTTTTACCAAAACTCTCGTTTGGTCATAAGTCTTTCAATTCATTTACCTGCTAAAGCGTTCATAATTTTAAAGAACATACTGCTATACGCCGTGATAGTATAATTAGACTGACAACTGATGACAACTTGCTTTAGAGGGATCATGGCAATTCAGTAATCTATGCCGTTGTGAATTCTTCCTTTTACAATAATGTGAGCGTCCAGACATGGTTTGATGCTACTCTGGTGTAATGATTTAATGAATGTAGTAGGAGAA